GTATAGAAAAGAAATAGGCTTACACACATTTACGAGGTAGAGGAGAGAAATAGGCTTACACACATTTACGAGGTAGAGGACAGAAATAGGCTTACACACATTTACAAGGTATAGAAAAGAAAAAGGCTTACACACATTTACAAGGTATAGAAAAGAAATAGGCTTACACAATTTTACAAGGTATAGAAGAGAAATAGGCTTACACACATTTACAAGGTATAAAAAAGAAATAGGCATACATACATTTACAAGGTATAGAAGAGAAATAGGCATACACACATTTACAAGGTATAGAAGAGAAATAGGCATACACACATTTACAAGGTATAGAATAGAAATAGGCTTGCACATATTTACAAGGTAGAGGAAAGAAATAGGCTAACACCCATTTACAAGGTATAAGTGAAAAATAGGCTTACACACATTTACAAGGTAGAGGAGAGAAATAGGCTTACACACATTTACGAGGTATAGGAGAGATTTAAGTTTACATACATTTACAAGGTATAGAAAAGAAATAAGCATACATACACAGTATAGGAGAGAAATAGGCTTACAAAGATTTACAAGGTAGAGGAGAGAAATAAAAGGGTGCGTACTATGGCTGGTCATGCAACCCCTACGAAAATGAATTCACCAATATTTTCTAGACAATCCGGTTACAGAGTTGACACCAGCACGGACATTTACTGACATATGTTGAACATGATAATAGCGACCCAAGAAGGTTACCGTGTTACATCTCCCCCGCCCGACCTCCCTTGGGGTGCTTTACAACCCCTTCCTGCCATCACTTGAGTCGGCCTTACCGGGTCTGAGCAAACACCCCCATGCCATTGAAATCAGTCCGGAATTCAACGCACTCATTTCACGTGGAACATATAAATACAGGATTATGAATATACTACAGCACACCAACACCAGAGTTCAGTATACACGGAGGGGAAAATGGGACATGTAAGTATAGAGTTATGAATATACTACAGCACACCAACACTAGATGTCCTTATGCAAAAGGGGGGGGGGGGAGATATAGGACATATAAATATAGAGTTATAAATATACTACAGCACACCAACACTAAATGTCAATATACAAGTAGGGGAAAAGGGGACATGTAAATATAGAGTTATGAATATACTACAGCACACCAACACTAGATGTCAATATACAAGGAGGGAAATATGAGACATGTAAATACAAAGTTATGAATATACTACAGCACACCGACACTAGATGTCAATATACAAGGAGGGGGAAAAAAGACATGTGAATATGGAGTTATGAATATACTAAAGCACACCGACACTAGATGTCAATATACAAAAAGGGGGGGGGGGGAATATAGGACATGTAAACATAGAGTTAAGAATATATTTTTGTTTTTTCACATTGACAATTTTATTGATCAAATCATGACCTTCTTCATGTCTCATCTTTATGTCCTCAAACCAGGTGCGGGTGGCCTTCCTCCAACAAAAGCAGAAGTAGGCCGGGTGACCTGAAGGTGCGGAAGCTTGTCAAAGTCCTGTGCCTCCAACATCTCTTTGGTGTCTGGATCAATTTCAATAATGTCCAGCTCAAGAGCAGAAACCTCCGGTATATAGTTATCTCTCCTCTTCCTCCTGAAGTTTAATGGAGATATTCCTCACTGGTCCCTCATGAATCCTCTTCATCAAATGTGTAACAAAGCCAGCAATCTTGTTCCTCAGCTTCTTGCTAGGGATAACTGCAATCTCCTCACACACCCGCTTGTTTGTTTGGAAGTCATTGGTCAGCTTGGTGTAATATTTCTCAATAATTACACGTGACGCCTTCTTCACTGACTTGGTTCGTACACGAGCCATGAATATACTGATGTTATTATGCAAAGACGGAAATATGAGGCAGTAACTCCTTTCTTTTCCACAACACCCATATTTTCACTGCCTACATTTGAGTTATAAGTTTATGTTACTGTTAGTTCACGTTTAGAAGTTTTATTTACAACATGCTGCAGTTGGACATCAAATATATCTTTATCATCAGCATCCTTTGTTGGGGCATAATTCTGAATGATGGTCATTTTAATTAGTCTTGTGTTAACTCGAGCCCAAATCATTCTACTCTAAATGGGCTCCCTTTGCACTAGACATTTTTTTTAAATATGTAACACTTCTCGTCCTTTTTAGGATGACATTTTTCGATATTTGAAGCCCTACTATGGCTCTTACCAGGGGCCGGAATATAGCCTGGCCACAAATATGGCCTGAAGGCTGAACGCGGTTTCTGGGACCTCTCCACGGTGATCCTCACCCGCATGGTGGCACATTGTGTCATCGGATGTATATCGCTTGTGTGATGTCCTGGTGGGGTAGAAAGTCAGTCAGTCAGACTAGACATTTTGCAACTGTGAGTGTCACCATATGTAGTGCCCGCACATTGCGTGTGTTTTCCAACTTCTTTTCATGAGTATACAAGGGTAAGCCTGTCTGATAACTATCTGACTCCAGTTGATCTGATAATATCTGACTGGTATCTTTAGATTCCACCTCGGTGACAATGTTGCCATCAAGTGTAGTTCATTTATATTGACGACGCTTGTGCTGTCTAGAAAACCTCTGGTCATCTGGAGATTGTACATGACCAGGACTCAGCTCGGGACACACAAGTCCAACAATTCCGGCTCAAATAATGTCAGAGATTCCGGCTGGTAAAGGTATGTCGGATATACCAGTTTAATTGTAATGTCAGATACACCAGTTTAATTGTAATGTCAGATACACTAGTTTAATTGTAATGTCAGATACATCAGTTTAATTGTAATGTCAGATACACCAGTTTAATTGTAATGTCAGATACATCAGTTTAATTGTAATGTCAGATACACTAGTTTAATTGTAATGTCAGATACATCAGTTTAATTGTAATGTCAGATACATCAGTTTAATTGTAATGTCAGATACATCAGTTTAATTGTAATGTCAGATACACTAGTTTAATTGTAATGTCAGATACATCAGTTTAATTGTAATGTCAGATACATCAGTTTAATTGTAATGTCAGATACATCAGTTTAATTGTAATGTCAGATACATCAGTTTAATTGTAATGTCAGATACATCAGTTTAATTGTAATGTCAGATACATCAGTTTAATTGTAATGTCAGATACATCAGTTTAATTGTAATGTCAGATACATCAGTTTAATTGTAATGTCAGATACATCAGTTTAATTGTAATGTCAGATACATCAGTTTAATTGTAATGTCAGATACATCAGTTTAATTGTAATGTCAGATACATCAGTTTAATTGTAATGTCAGATACACTAGTTTAATTGTAATGTCAGATACATCAGTTTAATCGTAATGTCAGATACATCAGTTTAATTGTAATGTCAGATACACTAGTTTAATTGTAATGTCAGATACATCAGTTTAATTGTAATGTCAGATACATCAGTTTAATTGTAATGTCAGATACATCAGTTTAATTGTAATGTCAGATACATCAGTTTAATTGTAATGTCAGATACACTAGTTTAATTGTAATGTCAGATACATCAGTTTAATTGTAATATCAGATATACCAGTTTAATTGTAACGTCGGATATACCAGTTTAATTGTAATGTCAGATAAACTAGTTTAATTGTAATGTCAGATACATCAGTTTAATTGTAATATCAGATATACCAGTTTAATTGTAATGTCAGATATACCAGTTTAGTTGTAATGTCAGATATACCAGTTTAGTTGCAATGTTAGATATACCAGTTTAATTGTAATATCAGATATACCAGTTTAGTTGTAATGTCAGATATACCAGTTTAGTTGAAATGTCAGTTATACCAGTTTAATTGTAATGTCAGATATACCAGTTTAATTGTGATGTCAGATATACCAGTTTAATTGTAATGTCAGATGCACCAGTTTAGTTGTAATGTCAGATAGTTAGTTTCGTATCCTTTACAGGACGTTGAAGAACCAACCCCAGCATTGAATGTTGTGTTTTTTTTTTGGGGGGGGGGGGGGGGGGGGGGGGGCAAATTTACGTCCAGTAGTTTTTACTGGACGGTCGGCTTCTTGGTACCACTGTTGGAACCAACGACAAATACACCAGTTTAATTGTAATGTCAGATGTACAAGATTATTTGTAATGTTAGATTCACCAGTTTAATTATAATGTCAGATATACCAGTTTAATTGTAATTAAAATTAAAGTTCCCATTGAAAGGACGCTTCTTTTACGATATTGATGACATCCAAAGGACCGTAACATCGACTTTAGGGGCCATAACAACAAAAGAACTACAGAGGTTATTCCAGTGTTTGTTAGATCGGGCCTGTCGCTGTATCGCTGTACAAAGGGCTTAATTTGAATAAAATACAGGTTATATCTTCAACTGCTGATTATTTCAGTTTTTATGAAATTAGTCTCATTACTTCATTGTCGGACCTTGTATCTTTCTCTCTAGACCGTGGAGAGTAGTTCGCTCCCCTGGTCACTCACATTTGTATCTTTCTCTCTAGATCGTCGAAAGTAGTTAGCTCCCCTGGTCACTCACATTTGTATCTTTCTCTCTAGATCGTCGAAAGTAGTTAGCTCCCCTGGTCACTCACATTTGTATCTTTCTCTCTAGACCGTGGAGAGTAGTTCGCTCCCCTGGTCACTCACATTTGTATCTTTCTCTCTAGATCGTCGAAAGTAGTTAGCTCCCCTGGTCGCTCACATTTGTATCTTTCTCTCTAGGTCGTCGAAAGTAGTTAGCTCCCCTGGTCACTCACATTTGTATCTTTCTCTCTAGATCGTAAAAAGTAGTTAGCTCCCCTGGTCTCTCACATTTGTATCTTTCTCTCTAGATCGTTGAAAGTAGTTAGCTCCCCTGGTCTCTCACATTTGTATCTTTCTCTTAAGATCGTCGAAAGTAGTTAGCTCCCCTGGTCTCTCACATTTGTATCTTTCTCTCTAGATCGTGGAGAGTAGTTCGCTCCCCTGGTCTCTCACATTTGTATCTTTCTCTCTAGATCGTGGAGAGTAGTTCGATTCCCTGGTCACTCACGAGATTAAAAGTTACCACAAAAGACGAGGTTAGAAGTGACCACAAAAGACGCAACTAAATGTGACCAGAAAAGATAAGGTTAGTAGTGACCACAAAAGACGAAACTAGAAGGTGCCACAAAAGACGAAGCCAGAAATTGCCACAAAAGACAAAATTAGAAGTTGCCACAAAAGACGCAGTTAAAATGAAAGTGAGAAAGAGAATGACGAGGTGCTCCTGGTGATTACTTCAAATACTGAATGCTGACATATTTGCTGTTATCATTGTCTGTTATTATTCCTGTGGCCATGGGTGATCAATGTCTCCATGGAACTGAGCAGGTCTGGTGGTCATCCCTTCACGGACAACCAAACATCGGCCCATCGACTATGTGCTGTGTGGCTACTATTTCTGTCAGCTTGTCTGTACCACTTTGATGGACACGCAGGGTGTCTATCCGGAATGGCTGTATCCAGACTTTGTAAGTGACGTCAGTGTTTCGTGTAAGTAAAGTTTTGTTCTTGTTTTTATATCTTCTTCTTTAGATTTTTCTCATACTCTGCTCCTCCTCCTCCTAAGTCAACGTCCATCTATAGATGTCATAATTATTATTAAGAAGGCGGCAGCCAACTTAACATTGTTGTCATCTACAACATCCTGTAGGATGATCATCACAGCACTCCGGACAGATCCATGGGTAGCCGAGTTTCCTCCTCAAAAGTTCGCGAAGTGTAAAACGACTGATGATGCCAGTTTTGTGTTGATTAATCAAACCTCTTGTTCCTTTGGCGAAATGTTCATTTCTTGCATCCTTGTCCACCAGCCTAGACATTGATACGGAGTCGTACCCTTCACTGTGGGGGAGGGCGGTGGGGGTGGTGGGGGTACAATAAAGGTGTGTGTGTGTATAATGAGGGGTTTAGGGTGGTACATAAAGAGCATCGCTCTTTGTCTGTAAACTGGAATACTTCGGCTTTATTAATCGTCAAAGTGGTTTGAAAGAACCAAAACAATAATGGAGGTCGCGGTGCCTGGAAGATTAGGCAGGAGTGGACAAGCCCGATGCCAAGCACACCCTGGGCGTGGAAGTTTACGTGGCTGACAATTGGGCGGCAGACCAAAGCTGGCAGAGAAGTTTTCTTACACGTCACTTTTGTTGGAGATTTGATAACTCATGTCTGAGATATGGCTACACATTTCTTAGATATGGTTCTGTCTGCATTTGTTAGATATGGTTACACATTTCTTCGACATGTTTCGGCACTTGTTGAATATAGCTACACATTTCTTAGATATGGTTCAGTCTGGATTTGTTAGATATGGCTACACGTTTCTTAGACATGGTTCAGCACTTGTTAAATATGGCTACACATTTCTTAGACATGGTTCTGTACTTGTTAAATATGGCTACTTGTAATGATGTTATAAATAGGGATAATGTCAGGGGATGATTGGCATAACTGGGGAAGTCCCTGAGAGCATGTGTTTCACGGAGATATGGTGAAACGACAGGAAAGAGTGTCACGTGTGAATGAGGAGATCTGGGGGATTGAGAATCAGGCGATTCGGTGACTGGGCCCCAGAGAGAAAGGATGGAAAATGAAGCTGTGAAGATGAATGGAGAATGACTAGAGCATCTGGATTTGAATCGGCGAGGAATGAATGATCGAGAAGGCCAGCTGTGAATGGTACCCTGTTTGATCGAGAAAGCCAGCTGTGAATATGTCAACGTCTTTTGTCCGAATGCTGTAAGTGGATTCACCTGTGATTTGTGTATTGAGCTAACGTGTAAATAAACTCGTGAAATGTGCCGCTGGTGTTAACCGTTGTTAGACGTTGTGTGACCATGAAGAGGATCATGTCTGCGTTGATTGAGTTGTGAACCTCTAGATATTAGAGCCAGTGTTAACTCTGCACCACAGATAGTCAGTGTGGAGGAGACACAAAAGTGCAGTCATTACATTGGGGACCCGTCCTAAGTGCGAATACATTGTAAGTTATAAATATGAGTTACAGTGCAGGCATGTTATAACTATGCCAGTACATTAGACGTAGTGTTTTTGTGGACAGAAGTAAAATTTAGGCAAACACCGGCAGCCGTAAGTTTTGAGTGACTATGTGTGTTGGAAGATGGAGTTTAAAGAAATGTCGGGGTATTATGTAAGACCAGGACATGCTGTCAAGGGCATTAAGTAAAACCGGGACAACTGAATTCCAGACTCTAGTCATTCTGAAACAAACAAGCTAGCCTGAGAAAAATGGGCAGAAACACGGTGAAGCAATACTGGGTAATGTATTCACTTCACGTGTGAAAAAATTGTACATGTTTCATCCCGCGGGAACGCTTGTTCGTCGCTGGAAGAGACTGTAAGCTGAACTTTTGACCCTTGTGGTGGGTAATCCACGACGGAAAATTGTCAGCAACGGTATCCCTGTGACTGTTGTTTGACGTGGGTTTTGTTCGTCAAACAAGAGGTCATAAACCAGAGATACGAATTTTCGGACTAGATTTCACCGCAAGAACACTGCATGGCCAGGGGCCAAGACGGCACTCAGTCACAGCGAGCAAGGTCATCAACAACGGTCACGTACAACACAGTAGCAGATAAAACGTCATCAGCGACAGCTAACTCGAGGCAACCGTACAGCACACCAGCCACAAGTGAATGCCTCAGGTTAAGAATACTTGTCAATAAAAAAGAACGGGGTCCAGTCAGTACCAGCAGTAGTACTTTTACTACTAAATGTTTGTAATACGTCCGTATAGGTGAGTTCGTGTGTATTGTGTAGACAAGGAAGGAGTGGTGTTTATCAACATTAATTACGTCACGAAATGTTTACAATTTATAATGGATAGACAGGAAAAACAGTGATTAATGTGATAGACTATGACTATTCAGATTGTAGAGTAGAACTACATACATTCTTTGTAAGAAAAGAATTTTAGTGAGAATCTAACATTTATCAACAGTTTGTGGTGACAATTAGTGAAATTAATATGCGCTAACTGTGAACATTTAGTGATCTGTGCCAACTGATCAACTTCAGGGTATAAAGACTTTTGGACATATTTGAATTATTGAATGAGCATAAACTAATAATAGTCTTTTAAGATCATCTGCAGACTTAGACCACGACAGAAGACAAGAGCAGTGTCCTACAAAGATCAGAAGAGCGTGTCTAGAGACAGTAAAGACGTGCAGTGGAGCATCAAGGGCCACAAACCTAATCCAGTCCATTCCAACAGCAGAAGAGCAAGGGAGCCATCACCAGGACCAAGGAAAAAGAATCAACTCATTACATTGTTACATGCTTTCTTTGTTCTATTTTCAGGTTCTTTGATTGTGATATTCTATTATTCTATTTAAGTAAAATAGATAATATTTTTTTTATTTATTAGTTGAGTAGAAAAATTAGTTAGGGTATATAATTAAATTTAAACTTTCAATTATTTAGTTAAAGAAGGGTATAAATTAAATAATACGGGATTTATCTTAAATTTAAACAGTTTCAAAAGTAATAAGTTACAGTAATCAGTTAAAATGTCAAACCTAGCAGAATACATAAATCTGGGAAAACAGTTAGGGTTATCAGGAGAAGAATTGAGAAAGTTCTGTGAAGGAAGAGAACAGGAGGACAAAGAACGCGACCGGGAGCTTAAAGAAGCACAAAGGGTTCAACAACAATTGGATCGTGAAGAAAGGGCCACAGCACGCGCCCACGAGGCAGCAATGAAAGATAAGCTATTACAACAAGAAGCAGAACTGAAAAATAAACAGTTACAACATGAAGCAGCAATGAAACAACAGCAATTAGACCATGAGAAAGAAATCAAATTGCAAGAGTTAAAACTTGAACAAGAGCGGTTGACAGCACAAATAGAGGCAGACAGACAAAAGGTTGAAGCACAAATAAGAACAAAAGAAATGGATAATGAATCCAAAGCAGAACTGGCAGCACAAAGGGAAAGAGCTAAAGAAGAAGAACATAAATTTACAAAATACAAAGGATTAATAAAGAATTTTGGTGAAAAGGATGACATTGGATCATGGATTTCAGCATTTTTACTACAAGTTCGGTTTCATAAAATTCCAAAAGAAGATTGGGCAATACTGTTCCAAAGACACCTTGGAGGAGAACCGTTAAAAATACTGGAGACAGTGCCAGAAAATTTACGACTTGATTTTGATTATATTAAAGACCGGATAATGAGACACTATGACCTACAAGAAGCAGGATACAGATTGCAATTTATTGATTTAAAACCAAAATCAACTCAAACATTTGTTGATTATATGTCCGAAGTTCAGACAACTTTTCAGAAATGGGTAGATTCAGCCAAAATTAACAACGACTATGATCTGTTAGTTGATTTACTATTAAGAAGTAAATTGCTAGAATCATTACCAAAACCTATGACCACATTTCTGAAGGAACACAAACCTACTTCGTTAAAACATCTTGAACAACTAGGAGAAAATTATTATGCAGCACATCGTGATATTTTTCTCATACCACAAAACACTGATATATACTCAGGAGCCAGTGCCGAAGGACAAAAGTCATATGAAACAGGATATAATAGATCATCATATCCGTCCAGAAAAAAATTTAATGGAGGAAGGAAAATAACAATAATAGATTGTGACATATGCAAAAAAAAGGCACGGTAATGAAACCATATGCGACGCCAATCAATTGTATGAACAAGAAGTCAGAAAGAAAATTGAAACAGGAGGAAAAAGGTAAAGAGATATGATAGTACAAGTAAATGCTGGGCTTGTGGATTCTACGGGCACACGCGTCAATTTTGTAAATATAAGAAAGAATTTAAAGCAGCAGCAGTTTGTGAAACATCAGACTCCGAGTCAGGAAGTGATATATCAGAAACAAATGCAGCAGTGTTACTAGAAGAAGATAAATGCACAATGTGTGAGAAGTTTCAAGAATATGGAGAATTGAAATGTAGGCATAAGATACCAGCGCACAATGCAAATTCTATAAAGGATTGTGGAAAATTAAATCTACACAAAGGAATTGTTGGTAATCGAATCCTATCAATTTTGAGGGACACAGGATCGACTATCTCAGGTATACATAAGTCATTAGTGAAACCAGAGGATATGACTGATAAAGTGGTTAGATGTAGAACATTCGGAGGTAGGATAGAAAAATTTAGAATAGCATCAGTATGGGTTAAAACGCCTTATACCACTAAGAAGATGGACATGGCTGTATTAAGTGCACCGTGTGTAGAACTTATCATTGGTAACCAACCAGGGCTGAAAGAGATGACAGATCATGAAATAAAACAGTGGGAGAAAGAAAACATACCTGATATGACAGAAGAGGTGATGCTAACCACGCAGAGACAAGAGACAAATGCGTTCATGGAAGAGAAAAATGACAGTGTAAATCTGCAGGAAATAGAAAATGTAGCAGCAGTCAAAAGGAGTGTAACAAAAAATCAACAAACTCAAGAGCACTCCGTAAACATGCACAAAGAACAAATACCAGTAACTACAGAAGATAAAAACAGATTTTTTCCTAGTCTATCAACAAACTACAAAAAACAAGTAAACTTAATAATGCAGTGGCTAGTAACATTAATTGTGACAGTGTTAATGTCAAGTGTTAATTGTTGTCTTAAATATGTTAGGAAAGTTGCAATATTAAAGTATCAGTTATTCACAATGCAATTGAACAGGAAGCCAACAAAATTAAACTGTGATCAGGGAAAAATAATAAAAAATAAGTTTCGAGCAAGAGGCATTAAATATTGTGATCAGTTTAAAAAAAAAAAAAAAAAAAAAAATGATAGAATTTCCTAATTAGAAAAGAATTTAGTAATTACAGATAAAATTGCAAAACATAAATGCTAATGACAACGCTAGTTTACCATTAGACATTAATACAAAAGTTTAAATTTGATATTAGGCATGTTAAAGGTGTTAAAAACTATATTCCAAATATTATGTCTAGGTTATAAAGATAGTAAGCAGAAATAATCACAAGGGGAGTTAAAATAGAAAAGGGAGATAATTATAGGTAACAGTCTAACATTACTAACAAATGTTCAATAAACGTGTTGTTACTAACAATTAATATTTAAATAAAATAAATTTTGTATGAAGTGATGATATGAAAGTTATGATGTGAAAGTGATAATGAGGAATGGTATATGAATTTAAAAATAAAACTGAAAGATGGTGTATGAGTTTATAAAAAACCAATAGACACATTAGGTTATAATAGAAATTTTATTAACAGGCAATTACAGATGTATTGAAACATAGAAATTTGGAAATATCTATTATATAGTGGACAAACAGAAAATGAAATTGCCACAATGCTAAAATGAGTAAATTCTGGCAAAGCTTTGGTATAAACCATGGTGAATGACGAAGACCAACAAGGAGTAGCAATCACTTTGAATGAACTGTCAACAGGAACTTGGTTCTATGGGGGACATACAGAACTGTGTGATTTATAAGTCTGGTTTTGGAGCCATTTTTGGACTTCCGCGTTGTTGAGGAACGCTTTGGGGTGTTGTTCAGTCTTCTTTAGGTAGATTGACTTCAGGACTTGATAAGTACGTCACAGAGCCTATAAGGTCATCCGCGTTGTTGAGGAACGCTTTGGGGAGGTGATTCTGTTAGCATATTGCCAAGAACTGTCAAGGGGAGTGACAAGAGAGGCTGCATATGTGGTACAAGTCAGAGAACCAATGGTAGAATTCCAGCCAACAGTAAACATATTAGTAAAATAAGGCAATATATTCTTATATGGAAATTTATATAGGTTTATGGAAAAAAAAATATTGCATATTTTTTTTTGTTTAAGGGGAGGAGAGATGTAATGATGTTATAAATAGGGATAATGTCAGGGGATGATTGGCATAACTGGGGAAGTCCCTGAAAGCATGTGTTTCACGGAGATATGGTGAAACGACAGGAAAGAGTGTCACGTGTGAATGAGGAGATCTGGGGGATTGAGAATCAGGCGATTCGGTGACTGGGCCCCAGAGAGAAAGGATGGAAAATGAAGCTGTGAAGATGAATGGAGAATGACTAGAGCATCTGGATTTGAATCGGCGAGGAATGAATGATCGAGAAGGCCAGCTGTGAATGGTACCCTGTTTGATCGAGAAAGCCAGCTGTGAATATGTCAACGTCTATTGTCCGAATGCTGTAAGTGGATTCACCTGTGATTTGTGTATTGAGCTAACGTGTAAATAAACTCGTGAAATGTGCCGCTGGTGTTAACCGTTGTTAGACGTTGTGTGACCATGAAGAGGATCATGTCTGCGTTGATTGAGTTGTGAACCTCTAGATATTAGAGCCAGTGTTAACTCTGCACCACAGATAGTCAGTGTGGAGGAGACACAAAAGGGCAGTCATTACACTACTCATTTCTTAGACATGGTTCTGCACTTGTTAAATATGGCTACACATTTCTTAGAGATAGTTCTGTCTGCACATGTTAAATATGGCTAAACATTTCTTAGACATGGTTCTGCACTTGTTATATCATCATCATCATCAGATGCCTTGCCGACTGGCGTGGGCGATCATGCCTCTCCATAATCTGCGATCTCCTGCAGCATGTATCAGTTCGTGTGCCGACACACCTCCATGCCATGCAACAAGACTGTCAAGCATCTTCTCTCGTCGTCTTCCTCTATCTCTCCTTCCACATATCTTTCCAGTGGTCACAACATGTTCTATTTTCCCTCTTCTCATAACATGGCCGAAAAATGATGACTGTCTCCTTCTGATGTCTGTGATAAGTTGTCTTCGGGCTCCCGCCTCTTTCAAAACCTCTTGGCTGCTCTTTTTGGCTGTCCAGCACTTGTTAGATATGGTTACCTATTTGGGAGATTTGACTCAGAACTCGACAAACTGTGTTATTAAATCAAATTAAATGCTGTCATGTGAATACAAAGGTAGAAGAAGATCGACACAGTCAGTAATTCAATGTTCAATTCATTTGGTCAATGTCCCAGCTGAAGGCCGTATACCACCATTACCTGGATGTCTACCACGACCCGTTTCTAAGAAATGCCTGGAAATACCCTTGGTTTCTGTCCATGTGCTTGGTGGAGCATGTCATTGGCCTCCCGTTTTTTGCCTGGGCCAGTTACTCCTACTATTACGGTAAGTCAAGAACCCCTCACGTGTCGTGTCCACAACTGGCACACGGTGCCAGACCCATATGTTTTAGGAAATCGACGCACTGTGGATGATGAGGTCAACATTACACCGGCTACTTTCACTTTCCCAGACACTTGCTGGGTAAAGTTTAAACCTGACAGGCTGATAAAATATAGCACCACAGAGTAAAGTTTAGATTTGACAGGCTTATAAAATATAGCATCACAGAGTAAAGTTTAGACCTGGCAGGCTTATAAAATATAGCACTACAGAGTAATGTTTAGATCTGACAGGCTTATAAAATATAGCATCACAGAGTAAAGTTTAGACCTGGCAGGCTTATAAAATATAGCACCACAGAGTAATGTTTAGATCTGACAGGCTTATAAAATATAGCACTACAGAGTAATATTTAGATCTGACAGGCTTATAAAATATAGCACCTCAGAGTAATGTTTAGATCTGACATTCTTATAAAATATAGCACCCCAGAGTAATGGTTAGATCTGACATTCTTATAAAATATAGCATCACAGAGTAAATTTTAGATCTGACAGGCTTATAGAATATAGCACCTCAGAGTAATGTTTAGATCTGACATTCTTATAAAATATAGCACCCCAGAGTAATGGTTAGATCTGACATTCTTATAAAATATAGCATCACAGAGTAAATTTTAGATCTGACAGGCTTATAAAATAAAGCACTACAGAGTAATTTTTAGATATGACAGGCTTATAAAATATAGCACTACCGAGTAATGTTTAGATTTGACACTTAAAAAATATAGCACTACAGAGTAATATTGACATCTGACAGGCTTATAAAATATAGCATCATAGAGTAATATTTAGATCTGAGAGGCTTATAAAATACAGCAACACAGAGTAATGTTTAGATCTGAGAGGCTTATAAAATATAGCACCACAGAGTAATGTTTAGATCAGACAGGCTTATAAAATATAGCACTACGGAGTAATGTTTAGATATGACAGGCTTATAAAATATAGCACCACGGAGTAATGTTTAGATCTGACACGCTTATAAAACACAGCACATCAGAGCAAAGTTTAGACCCTGGAGTCTTACAAAATACAGCACCACAGAGCAAAGTTTAGACTCTGGAATCTTATAAAATACAGCATCACAGAGCAAAGTTTAGACCTTGGAGTCTTATAAAACACAGCACCACAAACAAAAGTCGCAAGAGACAGAGCGGGCGTTCAACCAATGCTTGGTTATTTATAGACACGACAAATAGGATTATTGGCAGAAGATGATTACTGATTTCAGAATCGATATCGTTGCACCGGCATACCCGTAGATGCTGTCTCCCACGGCAGATGTCTGCAGATGTAGATACTGACTATTCCAGTAACACACTAAATATATACACATCCCTCCTTGATGGATCCACTAACTCACACATTCTTACTTGATGGATCCACTAACTCACACATTCTTACTTGATGGATCCACTAATTCACACATTCTTACTTAGTGGATCCACTAACTCACACATTCTTACTTGATGGATCCACTAACTCACACATTCTTACTTGATGGATCCACTAACTCACACATTCTTACTTGATGGATCCACTAACTCACACATTCTTACTTGATGGATCCACTAACTCACACATTCTTACTTGATGGATCCACTAACTCACACATTCTTACTTGATGGATCCACTAACTCACGCATTCTTACTTACTTTATTTAATCCAACCTTGTGTCTTCTATCAGCACTGGTTCATAAACGGTCTTCATAATGTCTTCTTCGTCCAGTAGGAGTGCTCCTGTAGCTATCGTTTTTGTAGCCAATACCTTCACTCTTTTATTCCCCCGCACTCCTGCATCTCCCTGACAGTGTATCCAGGTCAGCTCCTGTAATGCTGATGTGCTGTGGCTTGTATCCATTCATGACACATTTGACCATTTTTAACTTTACGCAGTACCAGCTGAGAATTAGGCACTATAATTTCCAGCAGAAGGAGAAGAAAAAAAAAAAGCAAAGAGGACAAGAAAGAAGAGGATACATTTAAATTATGTCTAAAATACCTATCTTGTTCTGCACAGTATATTCACTGTAACTTCTGCTCTTTCAGGTGCGCTCAACAGACCTCAAATCATCATACCTGGCATGATCTACAGCACGTATGCAATAGGCTGTGTAGTTGCAGTGAACGCCATGGTCATACTGGAAGATTTCAGCTCATATGGCGAAGGAGCACCTCAGACAACAGGACACAGATTATTGCTGTGTTTCGTCTACACTGTTATTTTGGGTTTTTTCCTCATCAACGTCATCGACTCTTACTATTTAACAATGAATGCCATCTTGATACCCAGGCAGTAATCCAACTTTTTATTTCTCTCAACTTTAGGTTCTATCAGCTTTTCGTTGGGATGGTTAAAAAAAATACAAACCCTAACAAAATACAATCTTTAACATGAATTTTTAAGTCAATAATTGTATCCTGAATGAAATCTTTTGGGGGAGTTACATTTTGTAACTTAAAAACAGGAGCGACTGCATTCAAGCTTGAGGACAGAAAAATAAACTTACATAATTAAAACCTAGGATCTAAATAATTAATAAGAAGGGACAGAAAAAGATAGAACCAAACATTTTGGCCTAAGTCTTTTACACCTAGAGCAACCAATCAAGGCAGTGAGGTAAGGAATATCTTGTTGGTTTTCTAGAGCCAAATTTTAAAGTTACGGAACACATGAAACGATGGTTGGGACACGTGTGAAATGAGTCAAAAAAATGTATGTGCAATGAGTCAAACAAATATGTGTGAAATAAGTCAAGCAAATGTATGTGCAATGAGTCAAACAAATGTGTGTGAAATGAGTTAATCACAATATGTTTCACTTAAAGACTGAATGAGTTAAGGGGCAAGAAGTTTCCTCTGTGGCACTCTTCTGTTGACAAAGTCTCACAGACAGGAGGCAGATGTTGTCTGGCTATTCCAAGATGTCTAGCTTTGGATACTTCCACGTACAACATTGAACATTTATCATTTGGTTTTAAAACTGTACAATTTAGAATTCCAGTCTTTGCTCAGATTTGCTAGTGCCTTCCCAGCTCCTATTTGTGTGTGTGAGTGTGTGTGCGTGCGTGTGTGTGTGCGTGCGTGTGCGTGCGTGCGTGTGTGTATGTGTGTGGCTGGCAACAAAACTGCTACCTAAGTAAGTTGATCTGTTTATAACTTTATATCATGTTAGTGCATATTAATTAAAAAAAAGTCCACTAATAACTTTATATTATGTTAGTGTAGATTAATCAGTAAGTCGATCAGCTTATTTTTTTTAAAGTATCTAGAAGTCATGAGTTGTTAACCCTTAGGCTCGGTATTATGGATTTCGCAACCTTTCGGCCTTGATTCCATGATAAATACCGTAAATTTGGGAGAAAATGTGGCTTTTCTGCCTACCCCAGGGCATGAACCCAGACCACAAGGAGTTCGTCACCCGGTCACCGCGCAATCCGGTTTAGCCAACTACGCTAGCGATCAGCTTATAACTTTATATTATGTTAGCGCAGATTAATCAGTACGTTGATCTGTTCATAATTTTATATCATGTTGGTGTCCTCATTACACACGGGAAAGGCCGTTTGATCTGTATATGAGTAATTCATATATATGAGTAAATCATATTTATGAGTAAATCATATTTATGAGTAAATCATATCTATGAGTAATGATATTATTTTATTACACAGTTACAGGATTATCTCCTTGCACTAAATTTAGAATAAATGAATGAATAACAAACTGGAATGAATCCATTTAGACAATGTCACAAGCACTCTGGTCATGTTGACGAGTGCTCCATCTTCTACCCATGTTGCTGGTGCCAGGGGCAACCTAATCTGAAGTCACCTACACAACCAGTGTCCAGACCGGTTGAGCCAGTCTGACCAGGTACAGAAACTACCATCCACTTGATGCCAACACGGCTTTACGTCATAAAGTAGCTCACAATCCAGAGTAGCAGCAGCAGCAAATCTAACAGTCCGTTCGCTGTTGGTCAGACTGCCACAACAAATTAAGTTTCCCGAATCTTGTCAGACCAGTCAATGTTGTACAAGAGAGAGCCATATGGCTGTCTCTCCAGCATCTTGTCAGACCAGTCAATGTTGTACAAGAGAGAGCCATATGGCTGTCTCTCCAGCATCTTGTCAGACCAGTCAATGTTGTACAAGAGAGAGCCATATGGCTGTCTCTCCAGCATCTTGTCAGACCAATCAATGTTGTACAAGAGAGAGCCACATGGCTGTTTCACCAGCATCTTGTCCGACAAGTCAATGTTGTACAAGAGAGAGAGTCACGTGGCTGTCCCACCAGCATCTTGTCAGACCAGTCAATGTTGTACAAGAGAGAGCCACATGGCTGTTTCACCAGCATCTTGTCCGACAAGTCAATGTTGTACAAGAGAGAGCCACATGGCTGTTTCACCAGCATCTTGTCCGACAAGTCAATGTTTTACAAGAGAGAGAGTCACGTGGCTGTCCCACCAGCATCTTGTCAGACCAGTCAATGTTGTACAAGAGAGAGCTACGTGGCTGTCTCTCCAGCATCTTGTCAGACCAGTCAATGTTGTACAAGAGAGAGCCATGTGGCTGTCTCCCCAGAATCTTGTCAGACCAGTCAATGTTGTACAAGAAAGAGTCCAATGTTGTCTCCCCAGCATCTTGTCAGACCAGTCAATGTTGTACAAGAGAGAGCCACGTGGCTGTCTCCCCAGCATCTTGACAGACCATTCAATGTTGTACAAGAGAGAGCCACGTGGCTGTCCCACCAGCATCTTGTCAGACCAGTCAATGTTGTACAAGAGAGAGCCACGTGACTGTCTCCCCAGCATCTTGTCAGACCAGTTAATGTTGTACTAGAGACAGCTACAAGATTGTCTCTCCAGCATCTTGTCAGACCACTCAATGATATACAAGAGAGAGCCAAAAGGCTGTCTCCCCAGCATCTTGTCAGACCACTCAATGATATACAAGAGAGAACCACAAGGCTGTCTCCCCAGTATCTTGTCAAACCAGTCAATGGTACACAAGAGAGAGCCTAAAGGCTGTCTACCCAGCATTTTGTCAGACCACTCAATGATATACAAGAGAGAGCTAAAAGACTGTCTCTCCAGCATCTTGTCAGACCAGTCAATGGTATACAAGAGAGAGCCAAAAGACTGTCTCCCCAGCATCTTGTCAGACCAGTCAATTGTATACAACAGAAAACCACAAGATTGTCTCATAATCAACTGGTAACTTTTGTACAAATAAAATTATTATTATTTTAAACTGTATACTTCTCATATTTTGTGAGATGCAGCATACAAATTCATATTTCTTGTTGCATTGGTAAACCTTTGAACTGCCAGAATAACAAACAATGATTACCTGGAAATGGCCAATGAAAGTAGAACATTACATATAACAATGAGAAGGAGGCAAAGTTCTTTGGTCGTGTGATGAGAAAAAGAGTACTGGAAAATATCTTGACGAGTGAAAAGATTACTAGTAGAAGATAATGAGATCAAGAGAAATGACGGGGGATGGCTTAAGACAGCGGCACTGAGGAATATCATCAGTGGAACTGATCAAGAACAATATAGACCGAGATCAATGGAGATGCAGAAATACCTAAGACGATGATTCGTAAACCTCAACATCATTTTCATTTGACATGTCATCCTGGTGCAGTTAATGTCTTCAGTGTTTGTGAGAATACAGCCTCATCAATTAGCACTTGCTTCCCACTCGAGAATTTTCTCCCAGTAAAACCACAAACATATGCTCTGTGTCTCAAGGGCTGTCTCCTAGTAAAAAGACAATCCCATGCTCTGTGTCTCAAGAGTTATCTCCCAGTAAAACAATAAACCTATGCTCTATGTCTCAAAAGTTATCTCCCAGTAAAACCATAAACCTATGCTCTGTGTCTCAAGGGTTGTCTCCCAGTAAAACCACAAACTTATGCTCTGTGTCTCAAGGGTTGTCTCCCAGTAAAACCACAAATTTATGCTCTGTGTCTCAAGGGTTGTCTCCCAGTAAAACCACAAATTTATGCTCTGTGTCTCAAGGGTTGTCTCCCAGTAAAACCACAAACTTATGCTCTGTGTCTCAAGGGTTGTCTCCCAGTAAAACCACAAACTTATGCTCTGTGTCTCAAGGGTTGTCTCCCAGTAAAACCACAAACTTATACTCTGTGTCTCAAGGGTTGTCTCCCAGTAAAACCACAAACTTATGCTCTGTGTCTCAAGGGTTGTCTCCCAGTAAAACCACAAACTTATGCTCTGTGTCTCAAGGGTTGTCTCCCAGTAAAACCACAAACTTATGCTCTGTGTCTCAAGGGTTGTCTCCCAGTAAAACCACAAACTTATGCTCTGTGTCTCAAGGGTTGTCTCCCAGTAAAACCACAAACTTATGCTCTGTGTCTCAAGGGTTGTCTCCTAGTAAAACCACAAACTTATGCTGTGTGTCCTTATGGTTGTCTTCCCTTTTTACCAGTTTTTAACATTATCATCATCACGTGCCCTGCCGAATAACGTAGGCCTTCATTCATCGCCACAGAACTCTGTCTCTTATTCTGGATCGTTTCCACCAATGATATCCCACCGTACAACCGTCGCAATCAATCCATCATCACATTTCTTGGTCTGCCCCTCCCTCTTCTACCGTTGTTGATCTTCCCAGTTGTTACAACATTCTCCAAAGTCATCACATGACAAAAAAAAAACAGTGCTTGTCTTTTCCTTATAGCTGTATATATTGATCTGCTTTCATTGGCTTCCTTCAAGCAATCCTCGATAGTTACTCTGGCAGTCCAAGGGATTCTTAACAATCGCCCGAGGAACCACATCTCCGTTGCCTCCAAGTTCTTTATAATTTGTGCTTTCACTCTCCATGATTCACTAACTTACAGTAATAAAGGATCTACATAGTATTTGAGTACTTTATTTCAGACATCCAAGGAGAGCGACCTGTTGCCCAAAATGTTCTTCATTCTGTGAAATGCAACCTTAGCCTGGTCTATTCTGCTCTAGTTTTGACACACATCTTCCGCCTGATGTTATGATTGTACCCAGATATTTGAATTTATCGACTTGAATTAACTTTTTACCTTCTGTTCTAATATCACAAGGTGATGACATTCTTTTCTTTGATATAACAATGACCTCCATTTTCTTTATATTCAAGGACAGACCCCACTTTTATTTTTGGCACTTTCCCTCACTACAATGTATAATAATTGTTGCAGATGGTGGTATACATGGAATTCGTGTTCTGAGCTGAGATTCTCCTTATGTGATCTATACAAAGAGACTAGGTTATTTATGCAAGTTTCGGTGTTTGCAGTCAAAGTTATCATTCCGTCAAAAACCAACCGTTCATATATTTCAGTAATCATAATTAATAACAATAATGAAACATTTAAACAACACACACAATAATAACACGCTGTTCACAGGAAATATAATATCTGTTGTCATAGTTAGTCTTTGCATTCTCTGAGGGAGACGAAGCACATAATGCAGGAGTCTGAGTGCCGTGGCGTCATGTTGGCTGACAAGTTCTGAAGAACAAAGAGTGACAGTTCGTCTTTGACAGGCACGATGCCAGCTGCAGGCTACAGGGGCGTCGACTACCTTTTGTTTGGCTACTTCCTGATACAGATTCCAGCTACGCTCCTGTTTGATACTCAGGGAGTCTATGGGGAATGGCTCTACCCTTCTTTTGTAAGATCTGTGACATGTGTTTGTGTCTGTGTATGTGTGTGTGTGTTTGTGTGTGTGTGTTATTGCCTCTGTGTGTGTCAGTGTGATTTTTAAAAAAAAACATAAAGTGAAAACAATATGTGTATTTATCCTAACAATCACCACATCATACATGTAAATACAATTGACACATCAGACAGATTTTCCCACACACCAGTATTTATTATGACCACTAACTGACCCCAGCTAATGTTTTTTATGACACCAAATGACCCAGCTAATGTTCTTTATGACACCAAATGACCACAGCTAATGTTCTTTATGGCACCAAATGACCACAGCTTATGTTCTTTATGACACCAAATGACCACAGCTAATGTTCTTTATGACCATGAACTGACCAAAACTAATGTTCTTTATGGCCATTAACTGACCATAGCTAACTTTCATTATGACCCCCAGCTGACCACAACTAATGCTCATTATGACTACCAACTGACCACAACTAATGTTCTTTATGACCACCAACTGACCACAATTAATGTTCCTTATGGCCACCAACTGACCACAGCTAATTTTCATTATGACCACCAGCTGACCACAGCGACGTTCTGCAAAGGACCTGCTACATGATGATGAGAGTCAGGGGACTTTTGTCAAAAGTTCCTTGTCACAGCTTTCCATTATATCTTATTCAGATTTTTAATCTCAAAGTGTCAACCCTTCCGGTCTGGTAGCAGCCCAAAGGTAGTCAGTCAGTCAGTCAGTCAATCAGTCAGTCAGTCACTCAGTCAGTCAGGACTAGGTTTGACTTGTGAGTGCATGATTCATAAATGGATCGTAAAGTTGTATGCTACTAACACATTTGTTGTAGGTATACGAGTAACTGGAGAATTTACTTAGTGCTGGTATCATACAACTGACTGCTTTGATTTGTCGCATGTAATTAGGACTACAAAAATTAAGAACAATCTTTTTCACACTATTAAGCTTTTATTACTTTTTCTTGGATACAATATTGAAAAATTATCAATAATTTATCATATAGTATATTGGACATAATATATTCACAATGATTTGTTTTTATCAAGTTTATATTGTATGTATACTTTATTATTTAATTTATTGGATACACGATAATAATTATTTTTACAAATAGTCATCTACAGTTGTATAGCTTGACTAGTAAAACAATAGGACACCACCTCTTGACAACTGAAATTGATGGACCCAGATTTTCACAGGTCACTGTTATTATAAATGTGAATTAGTTGTTAAGTATACAGATATTATGTGTGACGACATGCAGAAACATTCTTTTTTTTTTTTTCTTCTTCAAATATTCAAGCAAATTATTAATCGATTTCGACCTGCCCTTGATTGTAACGTCTGATCTCTATCAACATAAAATATAGTTTTTGTGAAGCAGTTTTGTGTGTGTGTGTGTGTGTTGCGCGCGCGCGCGTACACGCATGTGAGAACACCGCTATATTATGGCGGTTTCCAGTTGCAAAAGTAGCACAGTAATAAAGAGTAATAGTAATATCAGTTGTAGTAATACAAAAAAGATACATAAATTATATTTTTAAAGCTGTTCTCCATGCTTCCTTGCTGTTGTCACAACGTAGTTTGGTGTTTATTTTAGTTTTTTCCACTATGTGACCGAACAATGTCTTCTCTAATGTGTGAAATCATTCTCTTCGTGAATAAATTTCATCTCAAACGTAAAGATTGTGCTATTTATCTGTCCACTTGTTCCCATCATTCTTTTTATTAAAGCACATCTCCCCAGCTTTCATATAAAAAAAAAAAAACGTGAAAGTAAAGGACCCCTTTCCACGCCTTTAGGCGTATAAGGCATATAGGGCTAGACCTATATTTTTAAAGACCAATCGGCACGAGATGGGTGATGTAGTCAGCATTACGCCGACCGCCTCTACTTCCCGGGACTGCACCCGGTACCCACTCAAGACCAGCTTTCATATAATGGTTCAGTATTCACACCCTTGTCCATGATCTCCATGTGCTTTCTTCTATACAAAACCACAGAGCCGTCCGTTCTCTGCCTGATGGGACAGAAGATAAGCAACAACACACATAAAACATGCTAATCATTCTTTCTTTTCTGCGTCAATAAGAATGAGTCAACCGCATTTACCATTGGCACAATGAAAAAGGGGGAATAAGCGAAACATAAAAGCAATCTCTGGGTAAAGTTTGTGGGTGCTGGTTCCTGGATTTTGCTGAAGTCTGCGAGCAATGCCATGGTCCAGATGGCAATGACTGCTGTGATGGTGTGGACGCTGTAGATCAGAGCTGGGATCACTATCACTGGTTTATTTACTGCTCCTACAGGCAAACAAGCAAAATGTACTCGTTAATAGTTATACCGACAGATTGTCACACCCAGGGATTTTTTTTTCCTTAGAAAAGAAGCTGCTTTCATTCACTACAAAATGTATCAAAACGTGGCTAGTACTCATTACAAAGCATTCAATACAGAAGCAACTTAATCCGTAGCTTTATTCGCCGCATTTTGGAACGCAATTTTTTAAATTTTATGTTGAAGCCCCACCCCGGCGCTAAATATAACCCCGTGGTTGAACGGAATTTCTGGGACTTGCGCCCGGGCATTGTCATCCGAATGGTGGCGTTCAACGTCAGTCAGTCACTGCACACCTGATAACCAAAACAGGTGCCAGTACTACGTACCGATGCGCACCGCCAGGACAAAACAGCCCTAGGCAGACCAGACAAGCAATGTTACCCATCTTCAGCTTGAACTTCTCCTTCTTCTTCTTCTTCTTCTTCTTCTTCTTCTTCTTTTTTTTTCTTCTTCTTTTTCTTCTTCTTCTTCTTCTTCTTCTTCTTCTTCTTCTTCTTCTTCTTCTTCTTCTTCTTCTTCTTCTTCTTCTTCTTCTTCTTCTTCTTCTTCTTCTTCTTCTTCTTCTTCTTCTCCTCCTCCTCCTTCTACTTCTCCTCCTTCTACTTCTCCTCCTCCTCCTTCTTCTTATTTCTTCTTCTTCTTCTTCTTCTTCTTCTTCTTCTTCTTCTTCTTCTTCTTCTTCTTCTTCTTCTTCTTCTTCTTCTTCTTCTTCTTCTTCTTTTTCTTCTTCTTCTTCTTTTTCTTCTTCCTCTGCTGCTACTGCTACAACTCTGCTGCTGTTGCCCTTCCTCTTGTGTGTGTTTTAAACGCAGAAGCCAGATGGAAATTTCCACGTCATCATATTATTAAGTCTTGGGACTGCTGAAAATTCAAAAGTAGTATTTGCCCTATTTCAAAAAATAGGTTTTAACCATATATCCTACCCAGAGATGACGTCACAGGGCAGACCAACATTTTAGAGCGTGGTAAGACTGGGTTCCCCGGCTTTTTTATGCTTTTAACGACCCTAAAACATTAAAATCTGACCCTAACACCCAACCCACCTACGTCCTACGACAGAGTGCATCCTAGGTCCCAGCACTGCATGCATCCTAGGTCCCACGACTACATGCAACCTATCTACCACCCCCCTGAAATATTAGACTGTGACATAACCTGCGGATTTTCCCTGTTTGTGGTAGGATATTAAGAAAGCACTAAGAAATGTAAATGTTAGCCTATACTTCTCTGTACCTTACCCACACTAATTTTTGATGTTCGAGAAATGTTACCATAATTTGTATCGGTCAAGCTGTAGCAGAGAATGTTTCACAGATTAAGGACAAACTATAGGGTAAGTTGTCAACCTGTCGCCATAATTGACACTCAAATTGTGGCCCGCTATTGTTATGGGGAGGTAATCAGTTGGTTCCTGTTGGTTGCAAAAGGTCAGGGTTTCTCACGTTAGAGTTGAAGTACAGCAGCGGTTCTCACATTGCAGGAAGGGAATTCTGTGCTGGACACAATATTTATCAAACTACTGGACGTAAATTGGCCTAGAAAAACCACAACAGCCAGTGCTGGTGTTGGTTCTGCAACGTCCTGTAAAGGATACGCCACTAACAACAACAATACAACATTTATTGAAAGAAGGGTAGTTTTTTAATGTTTTTTTTTTCTATTGTTTAATATTATCAAATTCTTTCTTTCTTTCTTTTTTCTTTCTTTCTTTTTCTTTCTTTCTTTCTTTCTTTCTTTCTTTCTTTCTTTCTTTCTTTCTTTCTTTCTTTCTTTCTTTTTTTTCTTTCTTTCTTTCTTTCTTTCTTTTCTTCTTTTCTTTCTTTCTTTTTTCTTTCTTTTTCTTTCTTTCTTTCTTTCTTTCTTTCTTTCTTTCTTTCTTTCTTTCTTTCTTTCTTTCTTTCTTTCTTTCTTTCTTTCTTCTTCCTCTCACCCACCCACCACTCCTTCTTCCAAATGAACAGAGTACCAAACTAAAGCAAAGCCATTTGTAGACTTATTCATAATTATCCACGGCCAGTCTCACCCGGACTGTCTAATTACAAAAACGTATCCTTTCCCGAAATATTTTTTTCTATTGCTTTATTATTTAATCCGTATGCCCATCAAGCAAAGCATTTTTGCATAGGCAGTACACAGACTAGTTACAATACAAATTACAGAAGAACAGATACGTCAGTCAGAAGTAATAAGATAACGAATCATTATACTGAATACTAACTAGGTTACAATACCTCAGACAAGACTGGCATCAAACAGAGCACCACAGATAGCAATGTTATACTGATTTAACAGATCAAAAGGTCGTCCAGGCAGAATATGGACCGCAGAAATATCAGAGAAACTGAAAAGTACTTTATACGAATCGAACAGAAGGGCCCGTTCCACAGATCTCTTCCGAGGCATTCGAGAACAGAAGGAAAATAAAACGCATGGGGGCTGGGGGAAAGGGGAAACCCAGATCTTCGTGGATTCAGTACTGTGATTTATTGACTTATTGTGCCATGTTAGCCATGTCTACAGAAGGACACCCACAAGGTTTCTGGAAGGTGGGGGCGGCCGATCTGATATTAGACACAATATCCATTAAACAACCATTGATGTTTAAACATACGGGCGAGCATCATACATTCGATAGACCTCAAGGGAAGTACAGCGCCCTTAACTCTCTCTCTCTCTCTCTCTCTCTCTCTCTCTCTCTCTCTCTCTCTCTCTCTCTCTCTCTCTCTCTCTCTAATTTTTCTGACTAACACCATCGTGTCTTACCTCGACACCGAAACACAAAAAGCAACTTACCGTAATGATAACAACAAGCGGCCAATACTTCATGGAACTTACCGTAATGGTAACAACAAGCGGCCGATACTTCATGGAACTTACCGTAATGGTAACAACAAGCGGCCAATACGTTATGGAACTTACCGTAATGGTAACAACAAGCGGCCAATACTTTATGGAACTTACCGTAATGGTAGCAATAAGCGGCCAATACGTTATGGAACTTACCGTAATGGTAGCAATAAGCGGCCGATACGTCATGGAACTTACCGTAATGGTAACAACAAGCGGCCGACGCGTCATAGAACTTACCGTAATAGTAGCAATAAGCGGCCCATACATAGAACGGCATGGCCAGGTAATGTTCCAGCAGACAAAACGAAAGGAACCAGGGGTGGTTCCAAGCGTTAGCCAGAAATGGATCTTTGTATGTTTCTAGGTAGTGATGACGTAGCGAGCGCAACTGTGGATACATACACAAACATAAGCTGTGGTCGGTTAGTGTTCATAATGAACTTTAGCTGTGGTCAGTTGGTGGTCACAATGAACTTTAGCTGCGGTCAGTTGGTGGTCACAATGAACTTTAGCTTTGGTCAGTTGGTGTTCATAAGGAACATTAGCTGTGGTCATAATGAATATTAACTGTGGTCAGTTGTTGGTCACAAAGAGCATTAGCTGTGGTCAGTTGTTGGTCAAAATGAACTTTAGCTGAGGTCAATTGGTGGTCATAATGAACATTAGCTGTGGTCATAATAAACATTAGCTGTGGTCAGTTGGTGGTCATAAAGAGCATTAGCTGTGGTCAGATGGAGGTCATAATGAACATTAGCTATGGTCATAATAAACATTAGCTGTGGTCAGTTGGTGGTCATAAAGAGCATTAGCTGTGGTCTGTTAGTGGTCATAATAAATATTTGCTGTGGTCAGATGGTGGTCATAATGAACATTAGCTGTGGTCAGTTGGGGGTCATAAAGAACGTTAGCTGTGGTCTGTTAGTGGTCATAATAAATATTTGCTGTGGTCATTTGGTGGTCATAATGAACATTGGTGTGTAGGAAAACCTGTCTAAAGTGACAATTGTTTATACATGTATGATGTAGTGATTGTTAGGATAAATATACGTATAGTTTTACCTTTATGTTTTTTTTTTTAATCTAACAGACAGACACACACAGAGGCAATCACACACACAAATACACACACACAAATACACACACACACACAAACACACACAAACACACACAAACACACACAAACACGCACACAAACACACACACAAACAAACACACACACATGTCACAGATCTTACAAAAGAAGGGTAGAGCCATTCCCCATAGACTCCCTGAGTGTCAAACAGGAGCGTAGCTGGAATCTGTATCAGGAAGTAGCCAAACAAAAGGTAGTCGACGCCCCTGTAGCCTGCAGCCGGCATCGTGCCTGTCAAAGACGAACTGTCACTCTTTGTTCTTCAGAACTTGTCAGCCAACATGACGCCACGGCACTCAGACTTCTGCATTATGTGCTTCGTCTCCCTCAGAGGATGCAAAGACTAACTATGACAACAGATATTATATTTCCTGTGAACAGCGTGTTATTATTGTGTGTGTTGTTTAAATGTTTCATTATTGTTATTAATTATGATTACTGAAATATATGAACGGTTGGTTTTTGACGGAATGATAACTTTGACTGCAAACACCGAAACTTGCATAAATAACCTAGTCTCTTTGTATAGATCACATAAGGAGAATCTCAGCTCAGAACACGAATTCCGTGTATATCACCATCTGCAACAATTATTATACATTGTAGTGAGGGAGAGTTCAAAAAAGGGTCTGTCCTTGAATATAAAGAAAATGGAGGTCATTGTTATATCAAAGAAAAGAATATCATCACATTGTGATATTAGATCAGAAGGTAAAAAGTTAATTCAAGTCGATAAATTAAATATCTGGGTACAATCATAACATCAGACGGAAGAAGTGTGTAAGAAATTAGAGCTGAATAGACCAGGTTAAGGTTGCATTTCACAGAATGAAGAACATTTTGGGCAACAGGTCGCTCTCCTTGGATGTCTGAAAGAAAGTACTCAAATACTATGTAGATCCTTTATTACTGTAAGTTAGTGAATCACGGAGTGTGAAAGCACAAATTTTAAAGAACTTGGCGGCAACGGAGATGTGGTTCCTCGGGCGAATGTTAAGAATCGCTTGGACTGCCAGAGTAACTAACGAGGGTTGCTTGAAGGAAGTAAAAAAAAAAACCAATCAATATATACAGCTATAAGGAACAGACAAACACTGTTATTTTGTCATTGATGACTTTTGAGAATGTTGTGATGACTGGAAGGATCAACAACGGTAGAAGTGGAAAGGGCAGACCAAGAGATGTGATGACGGATTGATTGCGACTGTTGTACGGTGAGATATCATCGGCGGGAATGATCCAGAATATGGGACAGAGTTCTGTTGCAATGAATGAAGGCCTACATCATTCGACAAGGCACGTGATGATGATAAATGTTAAAAACTGGTGAAAAGGATGACAACCATAAGGAGACAGAGCATAGGTTTGTGGTTTTACTGGGAGACAACCCTTGAGACACAGAGCATAGGTTTGTGGTTTTACTGGGAGACAACCCTTGAGACATAGAGCATAGGTTTTTGGTTTTACTAGGAGACAACTTTGGAACATAGAGGATAGGTGTTTGGTTTTACTGGGAGACAACCCTTGAGATATAAAGCATAGGTTTGTGGTTTTACCGGGAGACAAATCTTGAGCCACAAAGCATAGGTTTGTAGTTTTACTGGGAGATAACCCTTGAGACACAGAGCATAGGTTTGTGGTTTTACTGGTTTACTGGGAGACAATATATTTATATCGTCTAAATATTTACAAGGCTTATATACTTGAGCGTTTTTTGAGATTAGCTGGCATAATTTAGAGCAGTTTGGCGCTTGAGTACATAATAAAGCTTACGGCAGTGTTTCCCCAACCTGGCGTCCATTCACCACGGGGGAGACGGGAGGAGGAAGGGGGCAATGTGATTATTAAAGAGGAAAGGGGGGGGGGGTTGAAAGTAGATTGCTCCAGAGTTTAAGTTACACAGGAGGGCAAATAAGAATTTTAGAATGGCCTATGTGGGGTCATTGCACACACACACACAAGTTGATAAACACTGGCTCAAGGCCTCGTCTGCTCCTGTTGGGTGGTCGGAGATTCGGCGTCATTTCGGAGAATCCTGGTTTGTTTAATCCTCACGTAAATATCTGAATTCTCGTCTTGGTTGATTACTTTGACATGTTCACGCCCATCGCCATCATTAGTAAGTTGGAGCAAGCCGGGGAAAATAAACGCAGAGCCAGCCATTTTTGTTCGGTTGCACAAGAACATGAAATCCTGTACATAGCAAATACAATCAAAACACATTTGAGTTTTGCGAATTCTCACACTGACAGAAAGACAGCAAAACAACGCAAATTACAAATGTAAAAAGTTGGCAATGTTCACGTTTATTAAACTAGAGAGGGGGGGGGGGGGCGAAATATAGCACAGATGGATGGCCGTAAATTGCACGCCTAGAGTTTTGTTTATTCTGTCCCTCTCCAGGAACGACGGACAGTGTTTATAGGTTGTGCCCCCTTAAACAGACACCTTCCTGCACGTAACGGCACTAAACGGTGCACCGCATTCCTTCTGCCAGCCGATACATTTATGAAGATAAACAACTAGAAGCCATGTGGGTTTTGGGCTGATGATAAGTTGAGGATATCTGGTCGAGTATCCTGTAAACAACGCTAACACAGGATATGGCTAGGGATCTCCTCGGGAAAAGATACCACAAGACACGCACAGATAGAAGTTAGTTTCCTTCGCTGAGATTTTTTTGAGAGCTCTCCTTGAATAAATAAGAGATACAATTATAAATGAGGAAATTAGAAGAAGATAGAAAGTTGCAACCAGTCAAAAAATTCATGAATGTGAAAGATATAAAATGCTTTGACCATCTGACGTGAATCTCCTGGAACCAACTGCCATAGAGAACTATGCTGAAGAAATAAAGTAAACACACAGCAAGGCGGAACATCGGGTAAAACATGGAACAATAGCATAAAAAAACAGCTGCAAGGAAATGAAGTTCAATTTACACAACACAAAATAAAGGTTACAGAGAAGATTCTTACATCTCTTTCAAGACTTCAGTGAGGTACTTGGAGATGATTTATGCACAAGGGACAAATGTGTTTTGTGGAAATGCGCGATCACCTGTGCGTTTCGGCATGGTGCGCGATGATGATGATGATGATGATGATGATGCTTCGGTGCAAAATGCTATTTATTTATCTCTGTGCAATGTTTATGTGTTGTATAGTTAGTTTTGTGTTATTTGGCACGGCACGCCCAGGCGTGCCCTGGATCGTTTAACCCGTGTAATGGAAGTCAAACAGAAGGTAAACTTTGGCACTGTGAGGCAGACTTATGCACTTACTGGGAGCCAGCCTGGTGCCAGCTGGCTCTTGTGAGTTGAGAAGTTGCAACAAGTGGCTGTATGAAGTCGGCTGGGAGTGAAGTATTCTGATTGTATGTGTTTCTTTCTTCTAGATGTGGTAGCGTGCTACGTTAAATTCGCAGCTATTACATGTGGAATCGGGACATGCGGGGGTGAAGGGTAATAACGTCATTCCTATAAATAAACAGAGGGGGAACTTTCTACTTCATTCTATGAGTGCCGATCAATACACTTTCTGTTACTTGAAGGGTAATAACAGAGTCGACATGCTGGCCTTGTCTGCAGCGATTTGTGGCAAGGGAAGAATGGACAGGGCAGACATTGAATAAGCTGCGTTCTAGAGGCTAAGAGTCAGAGAGGTGTCGGAGACAATATAGGTCTGTTGGAAACGGGTATTCAACGAGAACAAGCATGCAGAAACCGGTTGCAGGGTAAAGACAGAAGATATGCCGGTCAACTCCTGTTGGGCACAGTGAGCAAGGAAACACACTGATCGCTGCTGCGATTAGAGGACGCAGCATGCACAGGTCAGACGGATGTCGATTCGGGCAACAAATAGCAAGTAACACGTGGAATCTATAGCCCTTTCTGCTGGGTCCATTAGGTCGACCAAGTTTTGCTGTCGTCAAGAAAGGGCAGCTTGTGTTCTCATCAATCTCCCTTACTATTGAAGCTTGGTCGCCAACCACAGAAAGCGGCTTGACAGCGTTGGCATGCCATGGTAGCAGTGGTCTCAAGTCCTATGCTCTATCCTCAAGTCCCATGCTCTAGTCATCAAGTCCCATGCTCTAGTCATCAAGACCCATCTTCTAGTCATCAAGACCCATGCCCTAGTCATCAAGACCCATGCTCTAGTCATCAAGTCCCATGTTTTAGTCCTCAAGTCCCATGTTTTAGTCATCAAGACCCATGCTCTAGTCATCAAGTCCCATGTTTTAGTCCTCAGATCCCATGTTTTAGTCCTCAGGTCCCATGTTTTAGTCCTCAGGTCTCATGCTCTAGTCCTCAAGACCCATGCTCTAGTCCTTAGGTCCCATGTTCTAGTCCTCAGGTCCCATGCTCTAGTCCTCAGGTCCCATGTTCTAGTCCTCAAGACCCATGTTCTAGTCCTCAGGTCCCATGTTCTAGTAGTCACGTCCGATGTTCTAGTCCTCAAGACCCATGTTCTAGTCATCAAGTCCCATGTTCTAGTCCTCAAGTCCCATGTTCTAGTCACCAAGACCCATGCTCTTGTCTTCAAGTCATATGTTCTAGTCATCAAGACCCATGTTCTAGTCATCAAGACCCATGGTCTAGTCATCAACTCATATGTTCTAGTCCTCAAGTCCCATGTCCTAGTCCTCAAGTCCCATGTTCTAGTCCTCAAGACCCATGTTCTAGTCCTCAAGAACCATATTATAGTCATCAAGTCATATGTTTTAGTCCTCAAGTCCCATGTTCTAGTCATCAAGTCATATGTTCTAGTCATCAAGTCATTAGTATGTTCTAGTCATCAAGACCCATGTTCTAGTCATCAAGACCCATGTTCTAGTCATCAAGACCCATGTTCTAGTCATCAAGACCCATGTTCTAGTCATCACGACCCATGTTCTAGTCATCAAGTCATATGTTTTAGTCCTCAAGTCACATGTTCTAGTCATCAAGACCCATGTTCTAGTCATCAAGACCCATGTTCTAGTCATCAAGACCCAAGTTTTAGTCCTCAAGTCACATGTTCTAGTCATCAAGTCATATGTTCTAGTCCTCAAGTCCCATGTTCTAGTCATCAAGACCCATGTTCTAGTCATCAAACCCATGTTCTAGTCATCAAGACCCTTGTTCTAGTCATCAAGACCCATGTTCTAGTCATCAAGACCCATGTTCTAGTCATCAAGTCATATGTTTTAGTCCTCAAGTCACATGTTCTAGTCATCAAGTCATAG